TGAGGTATGGTTTACAAAGAATTTATGTGAGTTTTTTGGTTTTTATTTGTGTCCTGTAAAATATTTTTATATATATTTAGTTAGCTGAAGAGGGGCTGATGCCCGAAACGTTGATGTATGGAAAAAACGTTCTAACTAAATAAAAGATTCAACTAGCCCAGTGTTGAGAAAAACGTCACTTCATTGTGCCTGTACACAATAAGCAAATACAACACGGTTTCGACAACATCAATAAATATATTATTTAATATCAATAGATAGTATTTCCTGTCTGTGGCATACTTGTAGGATGAAGTGTATGTGGATTTATGGAATTCTTGTGTTGGTGGAAATCAGCACAATGAATATTTATGAGAATTCTAAGGCTTAGGAATGTTAGATGATTATTTATATAGAGATTATAGATTTGATACATGGTTCTGGACACCTTTGTTTAACAACTAATTTTATCTTCTTTCACATACACAATCTACCAATACCACCACACTTGAAATTAAGAAATATTTACTAACATTTTCATCTGTCTATAACACACATCTTCAGGTATATAATGCAGAACAAAATGGTTACATCAAAAATAATTTTAAANTTTGTTTAACAACTAATTTTATCTTCTTTCACATACACAATCTACCAATACCACCACACTTGAAATTAAGAAATATTTACTAACATTTTCATCTGTCTATAACACACATCTTCAGGTATATAATGCAGAACAAAATGGTTACATCAAAAATAATTTTAAATTGTAGACATACTTTGTTCTAAAAACAATTTTAAATTTTACTTGTAAATCGTCTGTAAAAACATGCTTGATATTGATGTAACCATTTTGTTCTGGATTATATACCTGAAGGTGTTTGTTATAAATCAGTGTTTCTCAACGAGGGCGATATCGCCCCCATGTGGGCGTTTTTCTACGTTGAGGGGGTGATTTGTAACAATTTATATTTTGGGGGGCAAAAAACAATTTTCTGGGCAATATAGTAAAACATTATATTAACAATAATTAGANTTTGTTTAACAACTAATTTTATCTTCTTTCACATACACAATCTACCAATACCACCACACTTGAAATTAAGAAATATTTACTAACATTTTCATCTGTCTATAACACACATCTTCAGGTATATAATGCAGAACAAAATGGTTACATCAAAAATAATTTTAAACTGTAGACATACTTTGTTCTAAAAACAATTTTAAATTCTACTTGTAAATCGTCTGTAAAAACATGCTTGATATTGATGTAACCATTTTGTTCTGCATTATATACCTGAAGGTGTTTGTTATAAATCAGTGTTTCTCAACGAGGGCGATATCGCCCCCATGTGGGCGTTTTTCCACGTTGAGGGGGTGATTTGTAACAATTTATATTTTGGGGGGCAAAAAACAATTTTCTGGGCAATATAGTAAAACATTATATTAACAATAATTAGATATTTTATTCGTTATATCGTACAATAATTAAACAAATAACATTATACTAGTCACTAGTCTGTTCAATGTAGTATGAATTTGTCGTTAGCCTTGGCCCTCGGCATCGGAATTTTGAAGCGAAGGGGCGATACTATGTAACGGTTTTATTGAAGGGGGCAATACTACGTTGAAAGAGGCAACGATTCGTTACAGGTTGAAAAACACTGTTATAAATGGATGAAAATGTTAGTAAATAAGTAAATATTTCTTAATTTCAAGTATGCTTGATTTGGTATGTTGTGTATATGTATTCTATCCTAGTATTGGAGAGTTATTGACTATATCTTCTTTGCAAATGACTTTAAAAATGATAATTTAAAATTTAACTTAGAAATTGTTATTATTTTTTACTAATAATAATGTTAATTTATTATCATTATTACATCACATATATATATATATATATATACAGTAATACCCCGAACTTATGCGATAGGTGGGACCGAGCGATAACTGCATAAGTTGAATTCACATAAGTCGGGATATAATTTCGCAATTTTTGGAAAATCCAAGTTGGCTGTATGTAAGCTAATAAATGTTCTCATTAATCTTATCTCGTCTTTTGATTCGTTCACGGTTACAAGAAATCACCGTTTCCGTAGATATAACAAACAGAAATAAATTACACAAAATAATTTGTAGCTATGTGTCAATTCCATGCGACACGTCCGGAGATGTAAGCTGAACAATAGTGTAGGGTGAGTGAGTAATCAAGAGTTGCATGGCGCTCAAAAGACGAATCGATGAGATTTGAAAATCACGTAACTCCGGGATCACGTAAGTCGGGGTAGCGTAAGTTGAGGTATTACTGTATATATATATATATATAGATATGATGTAATAATG